GGGGAGTGGACCCCTTGTCGGGGAGCTTGGACCCCTTGTCGGGGAGCTTGAACCCCTCGTCGGGGAATTCCTGGCGCCACCCCTGCATCCGATGAGCGATATTAATGGGTGTTTGGTGTTTAGCTGATACTGGATTTGTGTTTTGTTTTCCAGATGGCAGATAGTAAGTTTAGACCTTTGTCGTTTTCTATGTTTCTTACTCAATTTGGTGCATGTTTCATCGGCGAAAAGTTACGTTGGCTCAGATTCCTATTAGGTGATATTCTCCAACCAGCTGACCTGTCAAACGACGCCGACATTGCAATTACTTTATTACAGAAGCTTGTTGTTAAGGGTAAAATAAAGGAGGAAGACGTTTGTCTACTTCGTGAAATAGCCGAGTTGATTGAGATACAGGACGCAAAAGACTTGCTCAGCAAGTACGCTCAGAATGACCCATATCAATTCCAATTAATAAGCAGAGAACGCAGTGCCATTTTTAAAGCATTACGGGCATTTAATAAAACCGGTAAAGTTACGGATATGAAGATACTAGCTGGACACTATAAATTGGTTGATCATGAGTTCACGAATGAATGGGACTTGATATTTCATTTGGAGATGTACGTTTGGCCAACTAAAAAAGAAGAATATTTGGAGGAGTTTCATGCTCTCATAAACCCACAGGCACAACACGTCTTAGGTTTGTAGGTTTGATTTTATATTAAAGTTTTAACACGCCAAACGTTATTATAACACATTGTTCAGTCTTCGCCATAAAAGATATGTATCATTAGCTTTAAAAAGTTCGTGTTAGCCAAGCACGATCGAACACAAAATCTCGAAAACCAATGGTCGACAATTCTTTGACAAATAATAATATGGTGTATGGTGTCTGAAAATCTAATGTTACCATTTAATTTTGTCAAACAAATGGTAGAGTGGGAGCAAGTTAACCATTGATTCTTAAATTGAATTATTACTAGGCCTGCTCCTGTAAAAAAATGATAATGGTTGGTTTCCGACGGACAGACTGATTTGGCAACACAATATGTACCTTTGTAGCTTTATTAACATCACACGTACCACTATTCTTAATGTATGCGTCAACCTTTACATGATGATAATCACCATTCTCAAATTATCATTACTATCATTAGCAGCACTACTATCATTTTCATCATCACCATCACAATATCAAATTATTTTTTATTATGATGAAATGTAATTAGACTTGATAAACAGTAGCGCATTATTATTATTATTATTATTATTATTTTTATTATTATTATTATTATTATTATTAATTTTTATTATTTCATTCAACATTACAACGACAAAACTAACGTAAAAGTAATTTCAAAATTTAGATTGAAGAAGGAGCTTCTACATTATTATTATTTATTATTAATAATATTATTATTCAGTATATTATCTAGTATTATTAATATTACACTATTATTATTATTATTATTATTATTATTATTATGAAATCAGCATTAATTTCTGTGAAAAAAATAATTGAAAGTGCTTTATATTACATAAAATAAGGCCTGTTTTTAAATATTTTATTTCAGTTGATACGCTAGCAGGTAAAGGAACATAAGGTGCAGGTAACATTTTCAACATTCTTTCTGAACTTTTTCATTCTTTAGTTTTTAATATACGATTATTTTAACAAAATCATAAATACAGTACGGTACGATGCAGTATGCCTAAATACAATCATAATCTTTATTATCAGTGTTAACTCGTTATCATCATTGTTGTGGTTACTGTAGGTTACATTTGTCGACTAAAAATATCAATCACGATAAAATAACATAAAATGATAACCTTTTCCTATAGGCCTATTTGTTGTAGTGATAAGCGTGAGAAAAATAATGTATATTCTGCTAATCGTTAGACCTACTTAAACACGGGAGACGCCACCAAATAATAATAATACTAGGGGCCTACAACTGAGCAAATGATTAACATGTACGAACACCATTTTATTCGAGACTTCAGACCGACCTCACACTGTGCCTGCCGCCTTCCCGCAATGTGACATTACGTTACTATTACCCACAATGCAAAACAATAACAATTAATAGTAACTCCCGTTACATAGGCCTACTTACAGGTCTGTATGGGTCGCGATCTGGGGTCTGATGCATAGTTTGGTGGTAGGAGGTGCGTGCGAAAATTTTGAGAACATGGACCTAGGTGCCTGGAAATTGCACTTTCATACTTTGAAAAGCTTACCGGTAGGCCTACTATGTTCATAATGATAAATATAATATATCAACAATACAATACAACAATTATTGTTCTTAATACAATTTAAGGGGGCGCGATCGCACCGTCTGCACCCTCTCCTCTCAGGCGAGTGACCCCGTAACTGTTATTATTTTTATTTAATATTTAACGTATAGAGGCCCCTCACAAACCAAGACCTAACTATTGCTTGTTGCGGCAAGCCCTAGCCCTATTTCTCACAGGGTCATGATAAACAGGTTTGCAGTATTTTTCACATGAGCCAAAACATATTGAGCAGATGGGATAATAAAATTAAACACAGAACTACTGACTCAATCTCCTCATTAACTTTTAGTATACCAGTTTGATATTCGTAAATTGTCTTTTTTTTTTAATTTTCAGATAAGTGATGTGAGGGGAAAACACTTTGGGGCAGCTAGTCTGCGAAACTTTACACATCCAACCAACGGTTTTACCTATTTTTGGAACTTATTTTATATAACTCAAAATATTAAAAAAGGGGATTTGTGACTTGTATGATAAGATCAACAGCGAGATGATTAAATATTGGGATGATTTCCCTGATGATCACAAAAACACTTTACTTGTGCCAGATAGCACCCTAGGCCCGTTGCCATCTGGCCTTTTGCCACCCTAGGCCCTCAACTGTCCAACTGTCCATAATATTAATATATAGGCCTACTATTCGATGGTATGCAAACTATAGCAAAGGAACAGCGACGGAATAGCGAAGAAGTCCAAAACAAAGTTATAAAATAGTATGCAGCGAATCCAACTTGAGCAGGAATGGCAAATGAAGATTCAAGTCATCATATGTCCACAAATCAAACCGTCATCCGAGGTAACACCATCAACCATCCCATGTCGATCAGACATGGACCTGGGTGTTCCTCCATCATAAATCTCGAAACTTGTAACAGAAATTAAAATACTCCAGCCAACTAAACTTAAATTTAGGGGAGCAGCCTACCCCCGAGCCTACCCTATCTCCAATTAGAGTCAGTTCAATCAGAGCTGAACGGTATAGATTCTGCCCCATCTAAGTTAGTGTAGAATTATGTTGGTACAGTACTCTGATGGAATGACCACATGGGCCAGAGCCACGGCCCTCGGGCTGAGGCACCGCTCTCCCCTCGCTGGATTTCTGAATTTGTTGAATTCTCCCTCTTATTATTTTATTAATCATGAGACAATTTAATTCTTATTGGTCCCTAGCATTGGTTAACTCCCTAAGTCACTTTCCATTCCCAATCTTGGTTTCCGGTCATCCGTCACTTTTAGGTGGACAGGATACTTCCCTTCTAGGACCACAAAAACGTACAATACCCTGATCAAATTCCATGGGGAACAACCTACCAAGAAATAGTAAGGTACTGCAAACTATTGACTATAGGAAATATAATGCATAAAAGAATTAGCAAAATACATTGATTAAAATAATAAATTTTAAGTCTTAATAAACACACAAAATACACAGTAAATAAGAGACAGATTGTAATCCTCAATGACCCAGTTAATGGATTCGAAACGTCAGTTGGATGTCATCTAGGATTTGTTTGCTTTTATTGATAAAGGCATGAAGGGAAACTATTAATTTCTTAGACCTTTCAAGAAAAGAATAAAATAATCAATAATTTTAGGTGAAAATTATTACAATTTTATGTCCCAATATTAGCTTTTCAATTTTTCTACCCCAATACGAAAACAGATACTGTCCGTTTAGGTTTGGAGCTGCGATTTTTTTTTTGAGATAAGTATTATATGGATACTCAATTCCGTAAAAAGGTGATCATACGATTCCAACTTGCCTGGTATGCGACGGAGTAATAGTAGGCATATCGCTTCTAAATAATAGATGCCTTAAGTTTCTTTTTGTTATAAGATGCCTGTAAGAGCTTTTAAGGGCGTACATTCAAAAAGTCTTCCTATTTTGGGAGGGAGACACCCCTTTCCAAACCCAATCTCGCTAGGTGCTACGCACCTTGATTGGTCATCCATCGTTATTTAAGTTGGCGCCTTCCCTTTTGCTAAATCCTGTTTCCGCCCCTGTTCGTAGATATATTTACAATGTTCTTACAGAGTATCGATCATACAAGCCAGATGTTTTTCCAGCTAACAATATTACGTTATTGTATAGGCCCCTAATGGTTTCCAAGGGGTCCACTTTCCACTGAAACGAACCTACCACAAGTTAAGTCAAGCTACGGACTTGTAATCAGATAATAGAATATTTATTTGGTAAGGATCACGAACATAATTAATTCAAAGCATATACGCTAAGCAGAAGTAGAATGTAAACATATGACCAATAATACGGTTCTATACATCTATATATCCGAATACACCTTGCTTTTTTTTTTATTGGAAGCGACGTTCCATGGTGGAAATTCCCATTCTATTTATAAAAATGTAGCCTAATCATAATTTAACAATAGACCGCCATACAACAAAGCGCTGTGTATTGCTGGCAACATAGGATAGAATCTTTCAGAGAAGGAACGAAAAAAAAAACATAAAACGGTAAGACTTTATTTTTTTCATAAATATTACTTTTATGTATCTGGTACATATACCATGGAGCTATAAAATACATTTTACAGCTATGTTTCAACTCATTTTCGATTCTTAATATACTCCATGATAAACCAGATAGGCCTAGGCATTATGCAGCAGTATGCATCGCCTATCGCCGCCATCTTAGTCAGAATATAGAAGACAAAATAAGGGTATCTATAGACACTGAAGTTTATTTTAGCAGTTTTGCAACCAGGCTATATTAGATGTATTGTGCGGGTTTAATTTGGAGATAATAAATTCATGTTTAGGTAGAGATAATTAGAGCTTGTTGGGTGCTGACATTTACAAATAGCATCAGGAGTGATAAAGTACGCATTGAAAGCAGTCCTCGAATATTTGCATAGGCCTGATAATAAACAGGCTAGGCCTATATAGACTTAAATTTAAATTAAAGCAGTCCTCGAATATTCGCATAGGCCTAATAATAAGCAGGCTATACAGATTTAAATTTAAAATGAAGCATAGTTTTATACCCATGGAAGTATCCATAACTACACATAAGGTGTTTTACTTCAGTTTCTGATAATCATGTCAGTTGTCTGTGTCCACAAAGCAGCGAATACATCTTCTACATCATTTGTAGAGTTAATTATATATTTTTTTGTTTTTCAGATGGAAGATCGTAATAGACCCTTGTCTTTTCCCATGTTTCTTATTAAATATAGTCAATGCTTTATCAACGACCAGTTACTTTGGCTCAGATTTCTGCTAGGTGATATTCTTGAAGTTTCTGACCTCTATAACGACGATGTCATAGCAATCACTTTATTACATTTGCTTAAAGCTAAGGGCATAATTAATGAGAAAGAAGTTCGTCTACTTTATGATATAGCCGAGGTGACAGAGATAGCAGAAGCGAAAAGACTGTTTCTCCAGTATACACAAAATATACGCGGGAATGGACAATCTTATCGCCAAATACATAAAGAGCGAAGAGCTATCTTTAAAGCAATAAGATCTTTTACTACAGCTGGGACAGATCCTGATATGCCGAAAATGGCTGGCTACTACGGATTGATTAATCAGAAGTTCACGAATCCATGGGAATTGATATGTCATTTGGAGTTGTACATTTGGCCCACTAAACCCAAGCAAGAACATCTGGAGGAGTTTTACACCCTCATAAACCCATTGGCGCAAAAACCCTTAGGTTTGTAGATTTGACTTGTAAAGTTAAAATAACATTCTGTATTCGCATTAAAAGATAATTGTTACTAGCTCCAAAAAAAGTTTGTGTTGGGCAAGCGCGACTGGCCCAAAATTCGAAAATCAAGGGTAGGCTTCCCCCCCTCCCCTTTTTTTTTTGAAAATTGATATCTTAAATCGTCTACACGATGTTTGAAACTCCTAGTTTCCAATTCACTAACTCCATAAAAGTTGGTAGACGGGATGGGGAAGCAAGTCATTATCCCTAAAAAAGGACTAAAAAATAACAATCATCGCTGACCGACAGACAGAAATTGATTTCTAATTTATACTGCTTGTGCAACACAATTATAGGCCTTGTTAACATTATATCACCATATCCACATATTGAAAATATCATCATGATGACAATCACCATCATCATCACACCCATCATGTAATCCCCATCATCACCCCCATTATCATAATCATCATCATTATTCCCATTTTCATCATTATTATTACCTGAATTATCATTATTAATATTAAAATATGAGCTCTATATTATTATTATTATTATTATTATTATTATTTCTAATAAGCGCACTGATGGAGTCCGAAATAATTTTGAAAACAAATTTTAAGGCATGGCCTCAAGTTAAAATTAGTTCAATTTTTACTTCCATTGAATTGTTTCCAAGTTACGTAACATCCCTTCTAAAGTCAGTCCCCTCTGGGCAGAATTCTACCCAAATTTTAATCAGTCAGTCAATCAACCAGTCAATTTCTTAATCGATCGCTGGATCGACCAACCACAACCAATCAATCAAAAACAACTGTTTTGGTTATGCCAAATTATTTATTGATTAAATTTTGAATGCCATTGGGAGAACGTTGATAATATTGAATTCATAAAGTGTGGTAGTTTTAGTAACAGTTAAGAGTAATTTTCTTATATATAAATATTCAAATTATGATAAATACTAATAACCGTGCTTGAATAGGAACAAGATGTTATATAATCGTATCGAGCATAGCCCTTCGACAAAATAAAATCCTTTATTCCTGTATGAAAAAAAGTCTCTTGTTAAAATAAATGTAGCAAAAAAATTTAAATAAAATATCAAAAAATTACGGTGCTAAACCTAATTTGAATATTACTATCATGGCTACCAAACCAGTTTTTTACTATATTAATTTGAACATTATTAACCCTGTCTCAGAAGTTTAACATTACTGTAAGTGTAGTCACGTACACAATTTTCAGTTTGTCTTTAAGATGTTTACGTTATAATATTTCAGAACCTATAATGGCAGATCTAAGAGCAGATGCAAAAGGTAAAGTATTTGTTTTAATTAATAATATACATGGGTAAAATCGTATACATTTGGTCAATTCTTAACAACTAATCATATTAACACACAACATAATACTAATGAATATAGTAATAATAATACAATTCATAGAGATTCTATGTTGAAAATTACATATTCAACCACTACATTGCAACTAAACACTTAGAGTTAGATTTTTACACAAAATTAATTTCTAAATCAAAAGACTACGATGACGACAACACCGTCGTTTATTTCGTCTGTAGTCTTCGTATACATTCGATGCCATTCCATTGACTATAGTGACGTATGTTGGTTCATATTCTTCTAATGAATTCCATGGTTCTTAAGCATGCTGGTCAGTTGTCACACAAATTATTTGTATTTAAACACTTGGCACCTTTAATGTAACAAATCATTAATAATATTTTATAAATTATTTATATAGTTATGTAAATGCAATAATTTCAGCCTTGACTGCTGTCTATATAACATTAAAATTATGATCCAATTGACGGGCCTATGCACAACTTGTAGAGACGCTTTTATAGTTGGTTGAAAGCTTACTCAAATAAAGAATAAAATAGCCTATCAAGTTTATTATTTACTTACATTTATATCAAAATAGATATAAAGGAAGGCGGTTTGGCGCAGCGGTTTCTCTGGTTTAACCTTGTGGTTGCCGAGTTCGAGCCACACGCTGACCATTCTCAGCCGGCCTATACTTAGAATAATGACTATTGTTTGGATATTAACCAATCGAAGATAGTTTAGTATTATATTTATCAACAAATATTGTCTAAAATTAGTAAATAGCTAAAACTATTAACTGTAAACAAAATACTGTAGATAATCATTAATCAAGCAATCATTCAGTTAATCTCAATCTACAAACAGCCAACCTAACCAACGATTTTGTAAAATGTAGCATAATAATTGTATAGCAGTCTGTTAGTGACGATATTTCGATGTTGGTCTGTAGGAAAAAAAGTGGAATCAATTTTATAAAAGAAATACAACTTAGCAAAATAATATAAGTGATCTTAGTGTAGACACGTGTACATTTTAAGTCCTTAAAGCTGTTCAATAAATTTTATTTCAGCGGGTGGAGCAGGTCCGGGACTTAATGCTGCAGAAGCAGGTAGATATTTCTACTTTTTCTAGTGCACAGTGCCATCGTCATCATAAACGTTATGAGCAGAGTCTCTGTATAGTCTCGCAGTAGTTATAATGTCATCATAAT